TGGTTGCACCAATACTGCTCTGTCACCTGGTATGCCTTGTACATGTGAATAGCTCAGGCACCTGCCCAAAAGGCTCTGGCCAGCATATCTCCTGTTCAGCTCCAAGCTGAAAAGGTCCCTTGTTTTAGAAGAAGAAAAGCCAGCATGTTTCTGCAGTGGCCTTTCAGGATGCAGAGTAAGAGATAAGAGACAGGGAAGTCATTCCAGGGATCTGGCCCCTGTCCAAGCAGAGGGTGTTCTCAGCGTTGATAAGATCAAGGCAAGAGCACAAGAGGTTTATGTTCAATTTAAAATTCTTATTTTTACATAGCAGAAAACATCTTTCTGATCAGCCAGTTATCAGATTGGCCTTGAAATCCTTCCTTCCTTTCTGCCAGCCCCAACAAGATCCTTGAGACACAACTGGTAAGCCCCTGGGTGTCTTCTACCCACCTACTGCTGTAAAGACTAGCTCAGCTCTACTAATCCCATTCAGAGACTGCATGTAGAAGTTTGTCAAGGAAGAACAAAAACAGGAATGAATGACAGACTTTCAGCCCTCATCCCAAGATAGCCTGGAGAATTGAAGACTGGTGATATTATAGATACACTAGAAGACAGGTCTCTGCATTCAGAGCTGGCCAAGCCTGGTCTAGGGCAGAGTTGCACCCCATGAGCACACGGCCACCCAGTCATCCTCCTTCCAGCAATGAGGAATCGTCTCCATTGCAAAACAGCTCACCAGGCAAACACACTCTGGACACCGAAACAGCCACAACATGTGTGTGCCCCTCCCCAGTTCCAGTGCCTTGCTTCCAGTGACAGACATGACGCGGCTGACACTTTGGGGCACCAGGGACCAGGTCTGTACACTCACACTGCCCAGCTCATGTGCCACACACACACAGGCCAACACCTGCCCCTGGCCTTGCAGTGGCATGTGCTTTGTACAAATCCATAGTTCATGTATATGCTGTCACCTCTAATTTATTTCTGCTCACCTGCCCACAGGGGATGATTCTTCTGTTCCATTATCCTTTACTGGATGGAAACAGAAGCAAGTTTTTTTTTCCCTCTTTAATGTTATTTGCTCTTCACTGTAGGCTGCCACCTCTCACAGCTGCTATTCCTGAAAACATTTCAAACTGAGCTGCTGCACACTAGAAAAGGTTACCAATCTCTCTTCCATAACTGTTAGGTTCTTAGAGTAGTCACATCCCCCTTTCCCATTGTTCCACTTAAGTGAGGAGGAACCACTGAGTGAGTGGAAAGGCTGTAGCTGATCACCACCTGAGATGGCCCTTGGGAAACTTAAGCACAGGAAACAACAGCAAGGTGACACCCTAGTGTTAAAACAGCAGCAAAACCTACTTAGCAGCAGGTCACCTGCTTAAGAAAGACTACCAAGGACCACAAACATTTCCAAAGGCTGTAGCTGTGTTTCCATGCCAGAGAGCAGAGACACTGCCCTTCCATTTCACCTTCCCATGGGAGACTCTTCCAGCAGAAGACAGAGGAAGGAATAGCTGTAATGGTCCATGAAAAAACAATGCTTTGCACCCTGACACACCAGCAAAGCCCCAAGACGTCAAGGCAACCAAAGTATTTTTTAAAAGCAGGCATCAGCTCACAACCACATGAGACACTGATCTCAGCAAGAACAGGATGAAAATGCTTCACTGCTGATGATATTAGAAGGTCACTGTCATTGTCCTCACACAAGATGGAATAAGCACGATCCTTTCTCCTACAAGTTATTCAGCAGCAGGAGACCTGAAGGGAGAAAGCAAGGATCCTTATTTCAAATCCCTGGCACAAGCCATTAGATATCCTGCCTGCTCCTCAGATCAGTCCACACACTGCCTGTTCATCCAGCTGTACGCTGTCTGGATATCTGTGACTATCTCAGTTCAGAAAGAGACTCTACCTGATCTGAAACAGGAACTGTGCATCAGTGCTGCAGTGACACAAGCAAAGTGGTTCACACGGTGATGTTTCCTGTTCAGACACACAGACAGACAGCTGCCTGGTTCCTCTTGTAACTGCTCATCAACCCATCACTATGAGATCTGTCTTCATTGCTTCTACCCTCACCACAATGGACAGGTTCCAACGATGAACCTGTGCCACCAGACCCTCAGCAACAGGGAGCCAAGCCTCTCACCTTGCCTCCTGCTATCACTCTTGCCAAAATGCCACATTCAGTAGGGCCTTAGAATAGCCCTTCCAATAAAACTTTGGTCCCTAGTGTGCTCTGACTCCACTGCTGAATGCTGGACAAGACCCAGAAATTACAGAAAGGTTGAGGTTGCTCTAGAGATAGCTGAGTTCAAACCCCCTCCTCTGAGCAGGGTCAGCAGGAGCCTTTTGCCCAGGACTGCATCCTGGCACACCATGGCTCTTTCCATGGACAGAGATTCCACGATTTCCCTGGGCAACCTGAATATCCTACATTTCTACTTGTGCCCATTACCTCTTTTTCTGCTGCTGGGCAACACTGAGAAGGAATACCATGCCAAGCATGTCCTGCTGGCTGGATTGAGGTTTCCCTTTATATGATGAGAGGATGGCACTGTGTTTCAGAAGTATTGACCTCTCTCAGCTGTTTCCAGAGCTGAGGCACTTCAGCAAAGAGTTCTGCCAGGGACCTTCTGCTTCCTTCCTCAGCTGGGTACACAAAAGTGGGAATTCACAATCCCTTGAAAAATGGAGGCAAAAAATGCACCTTTACTTAACAGCTCTGCCATCACAACAGACCAGCAAGAGGCTGTGAAGCATCACATGCTATTACCATGGAAGCCACAAGTGCCTCAGGTGGAGAGGCATTGCCCCAGCTTGGCAAGGCGGGCCAGAGAAGAGTGGATTTTGTGCCATCTGAGAAAAGTGTGCTCTCAGTTTCTGCTGTTTATTTTACTGCAAGCTGACGTGGGCTCCAGGAGCAAAGGGATAATTCTCCTTTCAGATTCTCCAGGGGCACAATAGTAAGCCACAATAATGAGCTTAAGGTGTCACGAAACCACCTCACCAAGGAATCACTGAAACCCAAGGGACTGGAGAACCATCACCAAGCACCACTGGAAATAGCTGGTGTCCAGGGACAGACACCCAGGAAAAACCCAGTGAAAGAGCACAGGGCAGGCATAAAGGAAGGTGATAAACAAGATGTGCTAAAACATTGCAGCAGGATTAGACAGCTGGTGGGTCTGAAGGACAGGCACAGCCTGGGGAGAGCTTGTGGGGCACAGAAGGACACAACTATATTGAAAACAATCCAGGCAGAAGCACATGAAAGCACATAAAAGATCAAGATTAATTGTGCAGTCAGAAGTACTGGGTCACTGTGGGGCTGCTGGAAGACAGGACTGAAGAGCCCTGACAGAAGGTGTTTGAGAAGTCAGAAAAATACCACCCCCAGCTGTGCACCAGGCTCCAGCCAGCTCTACCTGCTCCTCCTCCTCTCAGATACCAAATTCATTTCCAGAGCACTGATGGGCAAGGACATCCAACAGCATGCTGCTTATCAACTGCAGCACTTCTGGGTACACAAAGGCAGCGTTCCTACTGCCTGCTGGGCAAGGTAAAAACCTTGAAAGGATGCTGGTCTGTCATTCATCCCTCTTGCGAGGCTATAAGAAACACTGCAATGAAAACAGCAGCTCCATCATGAAGGATATTTGTTTTCTTCCCCTAATCTGTTTTTGCCTGTGTATCACAAACATGGAGAATCAGGTGGACTGAGGTACACTGCTTTGGTGACAACAAGCAAGGTCACTAACAAACAGAATTTTAGAATGTTTTGGGTTGGAAGGGACCTTCAAGATCATCTAGTTCCAATACCCCTGCCATGACAAGGACACCTTCTACTAGACCAAATTGCTCAGAACCCCATTCAACCTGGCCACAATTCTTCCAGGGATGGGGCAACCACAACTTCTCTGTTCCAGTCACCCTCACTGTAAAGAATTTCTTCACAAAATCTTATCTAAATCTACTGTCCTTCAGCTTAAAGCCATTCCCCTTGTTCTATCACTACACATCCCTGTGAAAAGTTCCTCTCCAGCTCCCTTGTACCCTTCCAGTGTCCTTTAGGTACTGGAAGGTGGTACAAGCTCTCCTAGGAGTCTTATCTTCTCTAGGCAGAGCAGCCCCTGCTTTCTCTGCCTGTTGTTGTAGGGAAGGTGCTGCAGTCCTCTTAACAACTTCACAGCCCTCCTCTGGACTTGCTCCAACAGTCCCTTTGTTCAGGGACTCCAGAGCTGGATGCAGCATGCCAGGTGGGGTCTCACCAGAGCAGAGAAGAGGGGGAGAATCACCTCCCTCAACCTGCTTGTCTTGGATTCAGCCCAGGATACATCTCCCACATGACCATACAGCACTGACCAAAAGAAATACAAGGTACCCACAAAGAAAGCAGGAGTTGGCTGATGAGTCCAGGAGTGTGCTGCTAAAGACAAAACTCTCAGAGGGGCAGGTAACAAAATCTACAAGGACAAGACTTGAGCATATCTGATAGGGCTGCAGGCTGTCAAGCATGGAGAGGCTCAGGACACTGCAGCTTCAGCCCAGCTACAAAGTCATCCAAGCAATGTAGCTCTTACCAGTCATCACCCAGTCCCATATCCCACCTGGTTCTGCAAACATTAGTGCATCATGCAGGGACAATCCCTTTTCTCCTCTCACCCCTACCAAACACCACTTGCTCAAGAAGGATCCAGATTGTCATCCCTACCAGACAGCTAATGCTGTATGAACTCACAGCATGGGATGTAGACTTTGACACCAAGGAGAATTTGAAACCACGGTCTCCAAAATAGAAAAGACAATGTATTATTAGCCTTGTCAGCACCTAACCTAAATTGCAACTACATTCTATACTCCACACTAGCAACTTTTGTTATGCAGCTGATCAAGCCACAAGAAATCCCCAGAAATCATCTTCTGGACACAGATGTTCAATGAGAACAACCACATTAGGTATATGTGGGAAGATGAAGGAACTGCACTAGAAAAGGGCAACTTACACGAATTTTAATTACTCTAGTCTTCGCTCCACAATTCTTCTTGAGCAGCATCTTCTGAAAGAAAAGTAGAATCCAGGAATTAGTAGAAATAGCATGAATGAACAGAAAGAGGGATATTGTAAGGAGTCCCTTTCAATCAAAACTTCATTAAAACAAGATGGATGGATGGTTAAGTTAGATATGAAAGATTAAGAATTACCAAAGGTGGCCAGCAAGTAAATCAACCTAATCTGAGACTGTCTCACACATCCTGCACAGAGTCCTCTGGCCTAGGTTTTGAAGGAACATACAAGAAATTTCACAAGGAAATAGATAGAACAACTGCCTGAAAGGAAATTTCTTCTTAATTTCCATCAATTAGTGGTTAAACTTTGCCCTGAAGCAGGTGAATTTATCTTCCTTTACAAAGGAAAAAATGGGCTATTTCATGTAAATGTGGATGTTCCCATTATTAAACAGATATTTTCATTATGCTTATTTATTTAGAATGAAAAAAGAAAGGCAAAAAGCACCTGCCTGCAGTTCTAAATCTCTTTGCCATATACTGCAAGAGTCATTAAAGTTGTCATAACATGAACCACACAACTTAGCAAACAGGATATACTTGAACCAGCAATTATTCTGGGAAATTACAAAAATAAACAGGTGAGTTGAAGTTCTATCCCAGTTTGGAGGCAGTGGTTTGAAAGCTGGCAAGTGAATAAAATCATTCTTTCCCCTCAAAAATTGTCACGAAACAACTCCCAAGTGGAAAAACAAAGCTTCAGGAGAACAGTCCTTTCATTAAAAAAATATTTTAACTGTATTTTTCATGCTGAAAAACCTGGTGAGGGAGACATGTCTGGAAGAATCTTCTCCATCAGCTTTTGAAAGAAATAAAAGATTTTCCTCGCTTCTGTTTTTAACACTTCTCCAGTTGGAAAGCCGAGTGAAGTATGGGAAAGCACTCCCCACAACCACATGCTTTTACAAAGCAACTGAAGTGTTTTTCAGATGAAGCTCTTAAAGGCTGTAGAAAGACATCCCACCATTTTACCAACATGAGTGGTAAATAGTGAGACCTTTCCATTTTCTCTCTTTTTGTCTGTTTTTTTATCATTCTGCTTTCTCCAGCACAAAGCAAGATAAAAAGCAACACAGTACAGGGAGGCTTGGAAACTCAAAAAGCTTAAAAAATCCAAAACATACAAACAACCTCCAAAAAATTCAGAAGAAAAAGCACCACCCCAAAACTGAAGTCAGTGCTTAGGTGAAAGTATTTATTATTTTTCCAGTAGAAAGTACTGCTGGGAGGTGGGAAGTATTTTCATTCCTCCACCACCCTCTGTCACTCTACATCCCATAAGCACGTCTTTGCAATCCCAATCCACATTACTGCCCAGAACTTGGAGAGGGAGTTAGAGATCCACCCAGCATTTCTAAGCACATCAGACTCTTCGATCTAAAATCCAGAACTTGGCGCACACACACGCCCCACTTTGAAACTTTCACATGAATAGTTTGGGGCTCAAGGACAGTGTATTTTACTATCCAAGCATGCATGGGGGAAGAAGGGAGGTGCTGCAAGGATTCTGAGCTTTTTCTGTTAATCCTTTAGCAGGTGAATCCTACTGCTGTGTCCATTATTCAAAGGGCTCAACAGTAGCCATGCTTGACTGCTCTGGTCCAGGTCTGACCTGGCAGCACAGCTCCAAGGTTTCTAACCCAAGAGGACCCAACAGTTTTTTGCACAAACCAGGCAGGAGACAAAGGGAACTGCTGAACTGAACTAGCCCAGCCCACAGCTGTCCAACTAAACAAGTAATCCTGGGAATTCATATAAAATATTGCAGGACTCAGCTCCCAGCCAGGCTGCAAGGCACTATGGTATGGCTGTGAGGTTTCTTTCTTCTGCCTTTCTTAAGGCCCTCTTTCTTAAGAGAAGGAAGGAGACCTTGGTAGGGCTGACAAAACCCAGAGTGCAAGGAAGGGCAAAGCGAGGAGCTGTGAGGTCTTGCAAAGTTTTGGTCTCTCCTTCAGTTTTTCTTCCAGGTGCTGTGAAATGTTGGCTGGTGGGATGAGGAGGATAGGCTAGACAGCTCAAGCCACAGGTGGGATACAATGTGCAAGACAAAGTCAGGTTGAGCAATGAAAATTAGAATAAGGACTCATGATTTTGAGCCCCATCCTTTAGGGGAAGAATGCTGTTAGAGCAGAACATACCCTGCTGCATCCCATATGATTTCAAGCAAGACCCTCAGCTTCCCAAGGCCACTATAAAGCTGAGCTTTATAGTGGTACTTGGCTGAACAGCCAGGATGAAGTGAGGCTGTGACACAGAATTCTACATTGCCTCAGTAGCACCACTGAATCCTCTGCTGAAAGGGGAAAAACAGAGCTCTGCTGAACAAGGAGCAACTGAAACACCTTCCAGTACAGTCCAGTGGGATGAAATGCATGGGGACCATGTGACCATGCTAGGCATTTCACCACACCCACAGGTCCCCATGACTTCATCAAGGTGCAACAAAAGGCATCATTTCCCAACTAAAATCAGAGAGGCAGCAAGATATTTACCCATCCTGGCCTTATATTAAAACATACAGGGAGAACCAACAGACATAGAAATTACAAAATGACACCAAAGAGTGAATGAAAGGTTTGAGCTAGCCTGTAGGTAGATGGGACAACCAGCCAGACTCTTCCAAGAGAAATTCAAGTGCTCAGCTGTATCCCAAGTCCTACTCTTCTGGCAGAAAACAGAAGTATTCTTTTAGTGATGCTGTTGTGATAAGCTTTAATTATCTGAGAATCTTACCATAAGTTACACTACTGCTACAGTTGGCAAAGGTCTCATTGTGCAGCAAGAGCAAGACACACTACATCATTTTTATTCCTCTTATGTTCCCTCTTTGTTCCTGGTGCTCCTCTTGATGAACTAAATAGAAAAATAAAAACATGACATCCCCTCATCCACAGGCTGTTAAACTGGAGCATAAACCGCAGCATATGAAGCTCCCTGGAGCTCTCTTATTTCCACTTAGACTGAAACCAGAGCAAGACCACTTCTGCTGCACTCTCACAGCTTCCAGATCCCACATCATAGTAAAATCTGAAACAGAGCTGGAGATAGAGAGCAAGCCAGCCACATGATCCTACAGCTGAGAATGATGGCATGGCAAGTTATGAATGGCAAGTTATCAAATGTTACTCTTTTCAATCAAATTGCTTCCACCTCACTTGCAGCCACACACTTTCTGCACCCAGCACAGTAGAGCCATGCTTTAAAAAGTAAGTCAAGCCATCTTTGAATGGTTTTCCATCCGTCAGCCTTCCCTTTTCTTGCCAAACCTGAGCGCAGACTTTCAGACAGGGAAGCTAAAATGCAGTGCTGCCTAGCAACAGCCAGGGACTTTCCATGGCAGCCTCTCCTCATCCTCCCTCTGGAGACCTCCACGTCACAAACCAACCACGAGATGCAGCAACTCATTAACTCCTATTTACACAGATACAAGGCAGAGCTGAAATAACATTCATTTGGCTACATGACTTGCAGTAGCCTAAAGCAGGGGAAACGGCCTATAAGAAAGGTGACATTCAATTTAGTAACCCTGGGATCATTCCTAACTACTACACCAATGTAAAAGTGCAGTTTATTTCCTCAAGCTATTTTCTGGGAGTTATGACAATGAGCAGAGCAGAGATTTGTCAAAGGTCACAGAGGATATTAGTAGCAGAGCTGAGAATAAAACCATAGGGTATGGTTTCCAAAACTTTCTTCCACCTGCAGAAAATGAAATGGAAAAAAAGAGACAGTGTCTCTATTTCAATTAAAAAGTCCTTCTTGCAGGTCTCTGACAGAACTGCTAGCATCAGAGCTGAAAAATACAGCTTGGGAGCACTATTTTTTGCATGAAGGGAAGTTTATTTTACTATCTACTGCGACTTCTACTAAAAGGAGGAAATGACATGTCTAAGGAAATGTTAAAGCCTTTCTGAGAACACAAGAGTTATGCCTCGCTCTAAAAGCAAAGCTAAATTGAAACACTTCAGGGTTAACCCTCCAGAAAGCAGCAGAATCAGCTCAGCCCAAGAACCCACCCACCAATCTCACCTATTGCTCATAACCCAGAGACTCTCTCAGTCCTGAGCCTGGATTCAAAAGAAAGTTGCAGGGACTGGAAATAACAGAACCCCATATTCACCGAATGAAATGTAATGAACCCCTGATGTGCCACACGTGTGGCTCTGCTGCACATCACTGCCACATCCAAACACCCCCATTAGAGCAGAGATGGGCCACCAGCCCTGCTGCTCTTGCAGCACAGCTCTCCAGGCCAGCCTTGCTCCAGGAAATACCTCCAACTGCTTAAGCAGCAGTGCTCCAAGTCCCCCAACACTGACCTGAGCAGTTCTGAACTAACCCAGAAGAAAATGGTGAATGCCTGCATTTGCTTATGCACAAAAGCTACCACAGAACTATTCTATACAAACTGCACCACCCAGATGACTGCAATATATATTAACAATCAAATTACAGGCATTCTTAATGCAAGATCTCTCTAGGAATACTGATATCCCCAAGACTAATGAATTTATGTCACACTACTGCAACAGTTCAAAACTAAGTATTTAAAACTCTGTCAGTGCACAGTTTAAAGACAGGCATCACAACTTAATTTTCAAATGTTTAAACAGTTTGAACAAGCTCCCAAACCAGCATACAATGCAAAATATTTTACAATAATAGATATTAATAAACACTTTTCATCTTACATCTGCTTTTTATATACACAACTCTGGTTTTAGAATAGTTTTTTTTTCACTACCTCCACAAAACAAAACAACTCTTTTGTTCATTAGTGTTGCAGGGGGTGTAAATTGCTATTATTTATTTAATTTTATTATCTGGTCACAGTTTTAAACCTAGGAGCCTGTCCAGAGTTGGATGCAGTTCAACTGCTACTGGTTTTCTCAGACTAGTTTAGCCTATTTCAAGCAAAAGAGCACAGGAACTCTCAATTTCTCAACATAACTCATCATTTAATGACATACTTCATCAAATGCTACATACC